GTACAGTTTTGTGAATATGGGTATTGAAAGAAAGATTTGAGTCTAGCCAAAGACCAAGATACTTAAGGTTGTCCACACATTTGACTGGGGACAGATCTAGAAAGTGGAGATTTAAATCAGGGAGAGGTTTATTGGTCTTCTTGAAAAGCATGGAGTAGGATTTGGTTTTGTTGAGCAGAAGTTTGTTAGAAAGGAGCCAGTGTTGAACAATGTCAAAGTTGTGTTGTAGAGAGTTGCAGATGTCAGGGATATTAGAATTGGAACAGTAAATAACAGTGTCATCGGCATAAAGTTCAATAGTGCAGTTGGAACAGATAGTCGGGAGATCATTAATAAAGATAGAGAAGAGAAGAGGACCAAGTGAGGAGCCTTGTGGAATGCCTTTTTCAATGACTGTGAAGTTGGACTGGCTGCCCCCAAAGGAAACACACTGGCGACGAGAGTGCAGGTAGGAGTTGAACCAGAGAAGTGCTGGTCTGGAGAGGCCAATGCTGTGGAGTTTGTCCAAAAGTAAATAATGGTCAACCAAGTCAAAAGCTTTCGTCAAATCAAGAAATAATGCACCAGTGAACATACTTTTGTCAAAACTAGAAAACACATCATTTGTAAATTTCAGGAGGGCAGTAGTTGTACTGAAATGCTTTCTAAATCCTGATTGAGATTGGGATAATAGGTTGTTATTGGTGAGATAGGTTGAAAGTTGAATAAAAATTAATTTCTCAAATATTTTGACTATACTGTTGATAATGGAAATGGGTCTGTAGTTATTGATGCTGTCAGTGGAACCTGATTTATGTAAGGGTATTACTTTTTGCACATTTCCATGGTTGAGGGACATTACAGCTGGAAAGAGATAAATTAAAAAGTGAGGCTAGTGGAGAAGCCAGGACATGTGCACCTATTTTAAGAAATTTGCTCTCAATACCATCAGGTCCAGCACTGCTGTTGAAAGAAAGTTCACTTAAAACCTTAAGTACATCAACAGGACTAACCTCGGTGAAAGAGAATGAACTGTTGCACGGCTGGCGATCCGGAACAACTTGATGAAAGGGGGGATGGACCTGTGGCGTTTGTGAAAAGTGCAAGCTGAAGGCATTGGCTATAGTGGAAGGGTCATTGGAGACCTCATTGTTAATAATCATATTGTTCGTGGTCGTACTGGATTTCCCAAGCACACTATTCATTTGTTTCCAGAACCGTTTTGGATTTTTAAAATTGTTGGTCAAACTGTTTCTATAGTAGTTAGCCCTGGAGTTTCTAGTTTTGGTGGTACAAACATTTCTCAACTGTCTGTACTTTTCCCAGTCAGCAGGAAGTTTAGTATGGTGGAATGTACTCCATGCCCTGTCTCTCAGTTTGAACAGATTAATTAGCTCCCCATCAATCCAAGGTAGATGTGATCCTTTCACTCTGATTATGGTCCACGGAGCATGTTTATCAACAACTCTCACAAGTTCGGAATAGAAAAAGTTCCAGGCATCATCTATGTTTGGGATCAAGTCAAGTCTATTCCAGTTGATTAATTGTAAGTCAGAAATAAAACTATCTGTATTAAATGTTTTGAACTGTCGTATCTTAATCAATTTTGGAGGAAGTAGAGGTTTTGAAATTTTCCATTTACAGTAAATCATACAGTGATCGCTAAAACAGTCTGGAAGAATTCCAGACTCTTTTATTCTATTGGGGTGAGAGACAAGAGCCCAATCCAACAGGGATTTAGAAGTAGGAGTAACTCTAGTAGGTTCAGTAATAAGTTGTGTCAAATTTATGCCATTAAACAAGTTCTGTTCACCAAATGTGGAAGAGTCAAGCCAGTTAATATTAAAATCACCCATAAGGACCAGCTCACAATTACTCATCAGGGAGGATACAGTAGACAGAATATTATTAACAGATTCAGATTTGGGAGAATTTGGAGGTCTATATATATTTCCCACAATCATATGTTTGTTATCATGGAGAAAAATCTTGATAAATAGAGCTTCGAAGTGCACAGGAGAGTCAACAGAAACAAGTTGTGACTTAAGATGAGAAGAAACATATGTTGCAACACCACCACCTCTAGACCCTCTGTCAGTTCTATACAGTTTGTAGTTATCTAGCCTAATGTCGTCGTCAGAAATATTCTTAGAAAGCCAAGTCTCTGAGAGTGTGATAATACAAGGGCTGTTGTATGCAAGCCATGCTCTCAGGAGATCGATTTTAGGAAAGAGACTTCTGATATTCAGATGAACTATAAAGAGACCTTTACCCATATGGGGTATTCCGAAGATAAGTTAACCATGGTCCGTTTGGGGTAGAAAGGGGACGTGATGGAGAATAGAGTGACAAGAGAGCCTGTAAACATACATATAAACATACACATAAGAGCACACACACACATACACACACACATATAAAAGAAGCATCACAAAAACCGAAGTGTCTCAGTCTGCTGTTTAGTTAACAAAAGGACTATATTTAAGTTGCAATAGTCATAATTGTAACATAGTACAGGGCAATATAAAATAAATACATTATATGTATTACAAATTTAATAATAGTAATAGCAATCAAACAATCAAACTAATACTTGTCCTTTGTAGGTTGGAACATGAAGCCCTACTAAAAAAGAAAATAATAATAAATAAAGACGCGCGTCTCAATTTACAGTCTAGTTACGTCATGCCGGAAAGCACCTTCATTTACGGCAAACAAAACGGAGTGATCACATACTGGCAAAAAGTCAAGACTTTAGAATACCCAGTGCTTCCACTTCATCAGGAGATTTACACAGAACTGATTTACCGTCAACGTGGACTTTGAGCACTGCTGGGTAAAGCATCGCGTAACGAATGTCCAAGTCCCGGAGCTTTTTCTTCACGGAGTCGAATAAGCGGCGTTTCTGCAAAAGTCCGGCACTGAAGTCCGGGTAGATGTGGATCCTGGAGCCTCTGAAGACCAGTTGTTGCTTCTCCCGGGAGAGTCGGAGGATCTTTATTTTATCCTGGAAACGGAGAAACCTCACAAGTATGGGTCTCGGGCCAGCCTTCGGATCCTGCTTCGGTGGACCTCCTGGAGTACGGTGGGCCCGTTCAATCGATGGTGGTGATGGAAAGTTGGAACTGCCCAGGAGTTGGATGATGAATGATTCCACGAAGCCCAGCATATCATGGCCTTCAACTCCCTCGGGGACATGAAGAAAGCGGAGGTTGGAAGCACGACTCCGGTTCTCAGCGTCCTCGGCTCTGTCCAACAACAGGCTCTACAGTATAACATATTTTATTTCAAATTGCTTCAACTTACAATACATGAAGTATGCTTTCAATATGAAGTGTTATATGAAAAACAGAAGAGGATCTCTATGCAGAATAAACAAAACAAAAACAGTCCAAGCGGTAAATCCACATCCTTCTACTGTTAGCTGCTTGACCATCTAAAATGTTTGACTACAGGAGCCCACATGTTGTTAAACTTATCTAAAGTAAGATGTAATTGGGCTGTTATTTTCTCCATTATACTCTTTTCAGGTTTTCTTGCCACTGAACAATAGTTGGAGGTGGAGCCTTTAACCAGGACTTTGTTATTGTTTTACTTGCAACCAGTAAAAGGAATAAGTCTGGTCTTTTCTAGTCCGTGCCCCTTAAATGTTGCCAGGAAACCATGTGTGGCATCTTTAAACATTTTTCTCCCAACTATAGTTCCAATCTCCGATAGAATACCGTTCCAATACATACTCGGGGAAGGACAGTCCCAAAAAGTATGCGTATAATCTCCAAAGAGCCAGTGCCACTGAAGTTGGAAGTCTCGGGGGGGTTCTAAAAAAGCGCATCATGACTTTCCAACCAAATTCCTTCCAAACCGGACTTTTAGTTATTTTATGTACATTCTCACAAACCTGAATCCAATCTTCATCTTCGATAATTATATTTGCTTCTAGCTCCCATTTTCCTTTTATATCAAATGAGTTATCTGACAGATCTGATTGCAACAGACAATACAATTTGGATACAAGTTTAGTTTTACATTTTCCTTCTATGATCTTAATTAGATATAGTTCTATCGGAGATGGCAACCTTTTTAATTCCTCATATCCATGTTCTGTTTGTATATAATTTCTTAGTTGTAAATAATGGTAAAATTCCCTAGATGACAAACCAAACTTATCTTGTAATTGTTGAAATGATTTCAAAATATCTTTGTCAAATAATTGGTGTAAAATTACTAAACCTTTTTGTACCCAGCTTGAGAAACCTGCATCCTTTTTATTTGGTTCAAAGTCAATAAGTTTTGTAATCCGTGACACCCGTGAATTTGCGAGAGGTAAATTCAATGTCTTTCTCACGATACGCCAGACACGACGTGTACACTGAACCCATTGATTTTTTATTTGGAAAAATCTCCACTTTTTTTGCTCCAAAAAAGGGGCCGTTTCCAGTGGAACTGGTTGGGACGCGCAATTTTCTAATTCAATCCAATTGTTTTCCGCATCTTGAAAAACCCAATCCACCAAACCTCGCATTTGTGCAGCCCAATAGTAGAACTTAACATTTGGCAGTCCTAAACCTCCTTTAAATTTTAGACTAGTCAAGAGTTTTTTGCATTTAAAAATCATTTTATCTATGGATTTAAATATGGATGCAGGTATCCACACAGGGAGGGCCTGGAAAGACGTGGTAAAATGTTCATTTTCACATATTCAATCCTGCCGAAGAGAGATAGTGGTAGAATATCCCATCTTTCCAGATCTGACTTAATTTTTGAAAGTAAATTACCATAATTCTCATTGTACAATTGAAAGAAATTCGGAGTGATCATAACTCCTAGATACAGCTGTGATGTTGTGTGATTATTTATGATGGTAATGCTTTAATATCTTCTTCTGTTCAGCTGAGTTGCTTGTGTATGACTTGGAGTTGCTTGTGTATGAATTGTGCGATACATATAAACTTGCCTCCTGTCGCAGCTCCAGGCCTCGGGATCAGAGTGGGACCTTTAAAAGAGAAAACCCTCAGTCTGACCTCTGCTTCTGTCCACAGCCTCTGACGCCAAAGAGCAGCAGTTCTGGATCACTCAGATCCAGGTCTGTGCCCGACGCCACTCGGATATCACCAAGGTAACACCCCCTCCCCCCAACACCTGCCCCCCTCCTCCCCAACACCTGCCCCCCCTCCTCCCCAACACCTGCCCCCCTCCCCCCAACACCTGCCCCCCTCCTCCCCAACACCTGCCCCCCCTCCTCCCCAACACCTGCCCCTCCTCCCCAACACCTGCCCCCCTCCCCCCAACACCTGCCCCCCCCTCCCCAACACCTTCCCCCCCTCCCCCCAACAACTGCCCCCCCCCTCCCCAACACCTGCCCCCCTCCTCCCCAACACCTGCCCCCCCCTCCCCAACACCTGCCCCCCCTCCCCCCAACACCTGCCCCCCCCCCCTCCCCAACACCTGCCCCCCCTCCCCCCAACACCTGCCCCCCTCCTCCCCAACACCTGCCCCCCCCCCCTCCCCAACACCTGCCCCCCCCCCCCCAACACCTGCCCCCCTCCTCCCCAACACCTGCCCCCCTCCCCCCAACACCTGCCCCCCCCCTCCCCAACACCTGCCCCCCCTCCCCCCAACACCTGCCCCCCTCCTCCCCAACACCTGCCCCCCTCCTCCCCAACACCTGCCCCCCTCCTCCCCAACACCTGCCCCCCCTCCTCCCCAACACCTGCCCCTCCTCCCCAACACCTGCCCCCCTCCTCCCCAACACCTGCCCCCCTCCTCCCCAACACCTGCCCCTCCTCCCCAACACCTGCCCCCCCCCTCCTCCCCAACACCTGCCCCCCCTCCTCCCCAACACCTGCCCCTCCTCCCCAACACCTGCCCCCCCTCCCCCCAACACCTGCCCCCCCCTCCCCAACACCTGCCCCCCTCCTCCCCAACACCTGCCCCCCCCCTCCCCAACACCCGCCCCCCCTCCTCCCCAACACCTGCCCCCCCTCCCCCCAACACCTGCCCCCCCCTCCCCAACACCTGCCCCCCTCCTCCCCAACACCTGCCCCCCCCCTCCCCAACACCCGCCCCCCCCTGTGTAGTAGAACCCTAAAGCTTACACAGAAACAGAGTCCAAAGTCCTTTATCGTGTTTATAGTATCATTGTTATTGCTTGTTTATATATTTGTCTGATGCACACTTTTGGTACTTTTGGTTTTTCTACAAATGGGAAACAAAGTGAAAAGTGTTCTCTGAGCGTCGCTGTCCGAGCTCGGAGCTTTTCTAAGACACTAGTTCTTTTTCTGTTGTTCGTGGGAGAAACTTTCTGAGTTCCTGTCTCTGCTTTGACCTCATGTCGCTCTAAAGGTGATCGTTTGAAATGTCCCCAAATCCACGTCATCCAAGTTTAGATCAGATTTATTCAGACTCTTTGTGGAAAAGAGCAGAGGCTGAAGACGAACAGAACAGAAAGATCGTGATGAAGAAAACACATGATTACAGAACACTTTAAAGATGGAAACACTATTTATTTATTGTTCTTTGGTCTCAGCTGACTCAAGTTCTCTCCATCCATCCATCCATTTTCTTCCGCTTTATCTGTTGCCGGGTTGCGGGGGCAGTAGTCTAAGCAGAGACGCCCAGACTTCCCTATCCACACACACCTCCTCCAGCTCGTCCGGGGGGACCCCAAGGCGTTCCCAGGCCAGCTGAGAGACATAGTCTCTCCAGCGTGTCCTGGGTCTTCCCCGGGGCCTCCTCCCGGTGGGACGTGCCCGGAACACCTCCCCAGGGAGGCGTCCAGGAGGCATCCTGAACAGATGCCCGAGCCACCTCAACTGGTTCCTCTCAACGTGGAGAAGCAGCGGCTCTACTCCGAGCTCCTCCCGTGTGACTGAGCTCCTCACCCTATCTCTAAGGGAGCAGCGGCTCTACTCCGAGCTCCTCCCGTGTGACCGAGCTCCTCACCCTAGCTCTAAGGGAGCAGCGGCTCTACTCCGAGCTCCTCCCGTGTGACTGAGCTCCTCACCCTATCTCTAAGGGAGCAGCCACTCTGCGGAGGAAGCTCATTTCGACCGCTTGTATCCGCGATCTCGTTCTTTCGGTCATTACCCAAAGCTCATGACCATAGGTGAGGGAGGGAACGAAGATTGACCGGTAAATCGAGAGCTTTGCCTTTCGGCTCAGCTCCCTCTTTACCACAACGGTCCGATACAGCTCTGACTGCAGACGCTGCTCCCTCTTCACCACAACGGTCCGATACAGCTCTGACTGCAGACGCTGCTCCCTCTTTACCACAACGGTCCGATACAGCGACCGCATCACTGCGCACGCTGCACCGATCCGCCTGTCAATCTCACGCTCCATCCTTCCCTCACTCGTGAACAAGACCCCGAGATACTTGAACTCCTCCACTTGAGGAAGGACCTCTCCACCCACCTGAAGAGGGCAAGGCACCTTTTTCCGGTCGAGCACCATGGCCTCGGATTTGGAGGTGCTGATTCTCATCCCAGCCGCTTCACACTCGGCTGCAAACCGTCCCAGTGCATGTTGCAGGTCCTGGTTCGTTGGAGCCAGCAGGACGACATCATCCGCAAAAAGTAGAGATGGAATCCTGTGGTTCCCGAACCGGACCCTCTCCGGCCCCTGGCTGCGCCTAGAGATTCTGTCCATAAATACAGTGAACAGAACCGGTGACAAAGGGCAGCCTTGGCGGAGGCCAACATGCACCGGGAACAGGTCTGACTTACTGCCGGCAATGCGGACACAGCTCTGGCTCCGGTCATACAGGGACCGAACAGCCCTCAGCAGAGGACCCCGGACCCCGTACTCCCGGAGGACCCTCCAAAGGACACCCCGGGGAACACGGTCGAACGCCTTCTCCAAATCCACAAAGCACATGTGGACAGGTTGGGCAAACTCCCATGAACCCTCGAGTATCCGATGGAGAGTATAGAGCTGGTCCAGTGTTCCCAGACCGGGACGAAAACCACACTGCCCCTCCTGGATCCGAGATTCGACCATCGGCCTCCAGTACCTTGGAGTAGACCTTACCGGGGAGGCTGAGGAGTGTGATCCCACGATAATTGGAACACACCCTCCGGTCCCCCTTCTTGTAGAGAGGGACCACCACCCCGGTCTGCCACTCCATTGGCACTGCCCCCGATCGCCACGCGATGTTGCAGAGACGTGTCAGCCAAGACAGTCCTACAACATCCAGAGACTTTAGATAATCAGGACGGATCTCATCCACTCCCGGCGCCTTGCCACCATGGAGGCTGCCAACCACCTTGGTGACCTCGGCCAGGGAGATGGAAGTATCCGCCCCAACATCCTCAGCCTCTGCCTCCGGGACGGAGGACGTGACGGGGGGATTGAGGAGAACCTCGAAGTATTCCTTCCACCGCCCGACAATATCCCCAGTCGAGGTCAGCAGCCCTCCATTGGCTGAAGCCTGACAGCATCCCTTACTGCCGGTGTCCACCACCGGGTTCGGGGATTGCCGCCGGGACCAGCACCAGAGACCTTGCGACCACAGCTACGAGCCGCTGCATTGGCGATAGAGGAAGAGAACATGGTCCACTCGGACTTGATGTCCCCCTCCTCCACCGGGACCTGGGAGAAGCTCTCCCGGAGGTGTGAGTTGAAAGTCCGTCTGACAGGGGGCTCAGCAAGACGTTCCCAGCAGACCCTCACTATACGCTTGGGCCTGCCAGGTCTGACCGGCTTCTTCCCCTGCCAGCGGATCCAACTCACGACCAGGTGATGATCGATTGACAGCTCCGCCCCTCTCTTTACCCGAGTGTCCGAGACACGCGGTCGAAGGTCAGATGATACGACAACAAAGTCGATCATCGACCTCCGGCCTAGGGTGTCCTGGTGCCACGTGCACTGGTGGATACCCTTGTGCTCGAACATGGTGTTCGTGATGGACAGGCCGTGACTGGCACAGAAGTCCAACAACTGAACACCGCTCGGGTTCAGATCAGGGGGGCCGTTCTTCCCGATCACCCCTCTCCAAGTGTCACTGGCATTTCCCACATGGGCGTTGAAGTCCCCCAGGAGAATAACGGAGTCCCCGGGCGGTGCACTGTCCAGTACCCCTCCCAAGGACTCCAAGAAGGCCGGGTACTCTGCACTACCGTTAGGCCCGTAGGCCGTCACAACAGTGAGAGACTTGTCCCCCACCCGGAGGCGGAGGGACGCGACCCTCTCATTCACCGGGGAGAACTCCAACACGTGGCGGCTGAGATGGGGGGCAATGAGTATGGCCACCCCAGCTCGCCGCCTCTCCCCGCGGGAAACACCAGAAAAGTGGAGCGTCCAACCCCTCTCAAGGAGTTGGGTTCCAGAGCCCAAGCTGTGTGTGGAGGTGAGGCCGACTATCTCTAGTCGGTATCGCTCAACCTCCCCCACAAGCTCGGGCTCCTTCCCCCCCAGTGAGGTGACGTTCCACGTCCCAAGAGCCAGATGTTGGGTGTGCGGACTGGGTCGCCGAGGTCTCCGCCTTCGACTGCTGCCCAGTCCTCTCTGCACCTCGCCACCACGGACCCCTCTGCAGGTGGTGGGCCCACAGGAGGGACTGCCCACGTCATCCCTTCGGGCTGAGCCCGGCCGGGCCCCGTGGGGTAAGGCCCGGCCACCAGGCGCTCGCATACAAGCCCCGACCCCAGGCCTGGCTCCAGGGTGGGGCCCCGGCTGCGCCATGCCGGGCGACGTCACGGTTCTCATTGTCGTGCTGTCCATGGTTGGCTTGGACGTACTTGCAGAGAACTCAAGTTCTCTGCAAGTACAAAAATAAATATTATACTTTACTTTTCTGCTTTAATGAGACATGTGACATCAGTTGAACATGTCACATTCTCCTGATGAGCAGAGGAGTCGCGTATCGCGGCTGTGTACACAGCTGCAGAGTCACTGACACTAACGATCAGACCGATGGGTTGTGTTTGTACGTTTACTCTGCACTAATACAGCACAGACTATTTATCGGCTCGCACGTATGTCACGGGTAATCCGTACAGAAAGTATCGTTTAAACATTACAGACAGTATTGTTTAAACATTACAGACAGTATTGTTTAAACATTACAGACAGTATCGTTTAAACATTACAGATAGTATTGTTTAAACATTACAGACAGTATTGTTTAAACATTACAGACAGTATCGTTTAAACATTACAGACAGTATTGTTTAAACATTACAGACAGTATCGTTTAAACATTACAGACAGTATCGTTTAAACATTACAGACAGTATTGTTTAAACATTACAGACAGTATTGTTTAAACATTACAGACAGTAGGGGCCAGAGAACTGCAGAGCAGTGAAATCCACATGTGTTTGTCCTCATGGCGTCTGTAGCTGCTGAGGTCAGACGTGAGACTTTGAGCTGCGTGAAGCGTGAAGCATGAAGCGTGAAGCGGAGAGACGTGCATACGGCCGTTATGTGTGATGTCAGTGAAAATAACTTTGTGAATGCACTGAAAGATCTCAGACGTAAAAGTCAGTCATGTTTAGGAAATCCAACTCAGGTGCACTCACGAAAAACAGGAAGAGGGTGAAGGAGGTAAAGGCATCCCATTGGTTTATTTTTATCGGTCCGCTCCAAAATATGATTTATTAATTTTTGTAGACTATAGACATCTGGTCAATTCCCTTACTATTTGAAAACACATGATAACTTTACTACTTTTATGGTTTAGGGACGTTTTCCCACAATCTTAAAAAAAATGCATCTGGAAAAATTCACTGACTGCATCTTTAAATATAAATATATGGTGAAAACAGCAAGTATTTGGTTCTTAACCAGAATGTAAGAGAAGAAGCAAATACTTTAATTTCTACTAGAACGACAAGATGAACCTAAACTGGTAAAAACTGCTTTCCGCCTGTAACTCCCTCTGCTGCCACCAGAGGGAGGTGTGATTGGATTCTTTTCATGAAATTGCCGTGACTAATTTATGGTTGTTTGAAGTGTCGTAGTGGGACCATAACATCTGTCGTTATCATTGGTCAATCATCAGGCCTCTGATTGGTCGATCCTTACGGCTCATATCTGAATTTACAAAGGTAAAAGAGAGTTTCTAAACTTCTTCCATGAGCACTTCCCCATTGGGCTTCATTGAGCTAGGGTCATATGTTTGAGTAGTTGTGGATCCTCATTAGTCATCGCTCCTCAGTCCCTCGTCTCGAAAACGACAAACTCAGAGTCGACTGAAGCAGTTTGTTCTTATTTACTGCATAAATATGAACAAACTGAGACGTGACAGATTAAGACAGATTAAGACATGGCTTTGAAGTAGAATCGTGTTTCAGTAACTTTAGCACATTTTATTGGTTACATTCATGTTTTAGAATCTATTTCATGATGAGAGCAGTGTCCAAGTGTTTTCCCAGTTCATTATTTACAGTGATTTTAACAGATTATTTAGAGGCCGTTATAATGTTTTGGTTTTGAAGAAGTGTGGATTGGACCAAAGTTGTGATGTCACACTAAATGAACCTATAGCAGTTCCAGAATAGCATCAGGTCCTGGGTTCACGGCCGTCACAGTAACTAGCCGTGTTCTGACTGGATTAACATCTGGGATTAACATCTGGGATTGTGGCTGGGATTAGCAGCAGGACATGACTCGTGCCGATCTGAGGCTGGTTTTAGACTCGTCACGGTGCAGCTCCTCTCTGACTGTGAGAGACACAAACGCTTCAGAACCCAAACCCTGGCTCCATCACACTGAGGGCATTTGACCCACTCTTTGAAAACCTTTCCACTGTCTTATAATATAATATATATATATGTGTGTGTGTGTTTGTGTGTGTGTCTCTGCATGTGTGTGTTTAGGTGAAGAAGTTGAAAGGCTCTGATGAACACCTGAGTGTGGAGCGGGGCGGACCGGAGGGGCTGGTGAGTCACACTCTGCAAACACACACACACACACACACACACACACACACACACACACACACACACTGGTCCTCCCGTTTCTGTGCAGTGGACGAGCTCCCATGATGCTTTGCACCAAATACACGTGTGTGGCGCTCGTGCACAGAGGGGCTCGGCCCTGGTTTTGTGTCTTTGATGAGCGTGACGAGCAGAGCACAGGTCAGACGTGTGTTTTAGGACCTCCGTTTGGCCGTGTCTTATGGGAACATTAACTATTACTGTTTATTAATCTACTCTGAATGTCGCTGGTGAGATGGTGAACCTGGACGAGCTTGGTTAACAGAAGTCTTACTAAACATCTAATATATATAATCCATGGTGTCATAGATGTTTTAGCCTTTTTCTTGGTTCAACTCTGAGCTCGTTGGGTTTGAATGGCTCATTATGCTTCTTCATTTCATTCCCAATTATCTCTTCATCACATTTAAACGCTGCAACATCTGGAGAAGTGTGAGACGCAAACGCAGACTCAGCCGTGTCTAAAGACCGGATGTTTTTATTTTGTCAGATTTTTCACCCGTCTCCAGCAGATTGTGGGGACCTGCATCTTAGTGCTGTAATGTTTAGGAAATGATTTGCAGGTCCCCTTTCGTTCTCTCTGGCCCAAACTTTGATCTTTGCTCCTTCCTCTAAGAACTCACACTTTTCTGCTTTTTAAAACAAAAGTATTGCTCAGTATTTATTTATTTGAGAAAAAAACAAATCAATATCTACCCGTCCCTCTAGTGGTGGAGCAGGGATAAGACAGCCTGAGACATATGTTTCACCAGATATTTTCTACTGAAGATAAATCACATCCATGACATGATGAAGTAAATGGTCTCATTATCATTCTCAATATCCTAGAACTATGCATGCTAATTCTTCTTGTGTTCACTTGAGTCCTGAACCCATCGACTCCTGGGTGTAATCCACGCCTCTGCAGTCCAAAGGTTGATTGACCTTATGCCAGTGGTCACTAAACCCCGCCCCTTCTGCGGCGATACACTGTACAGTCTATTCGTCTATTCGTCCGGCGTATACAAGTGCATTTCTTCTTCTCCGCCCGGCACCTTTTCAATCTGGTTTATTGAAAAGCTTTGGGCCTCGAGCCAGTTCCAAAGGACAGACCCGGCCTGTGTTTCTTTCTGCTTACTCACGGAGCCTCACGGAGGAGGAGGAGGAGGAGGAGGAGGAGGAGGAGGAGGAGCTAAAAACTTTCAATCTTATTATTTTCTTTTGAATATTTTATTGAGTTAAAAGTGAAGTGTACAGTGCGCTTCATGGTCAGTCCCATGGTCCAGGGACAGTGCGCTTCATGGTCAGTCCCATGGTCCGGGGACAGTGCGCTTCATGGTCAGTCCCATGGTCCGGGGACAGTGCGCTTCATGGTCCGTCCCATGGTCCGGGGACAGTGCGCTTCATGGTCAGTCCCATGGTCCGGGGACAGTGAGCTTCATGGTCTGTCCCATGGTCCGGGGACAGTGCGCTTCATGGTCCGTCCCATGGTCTGGGGACAGTGCGCTTCATGGTCAGTCCCATGGTCCGGGGACAGTGCGCTTCATGGTCCGTCCCATGGTCTGGGGACAGTGCGCTTCATGGTCAGTCCCATGGTCCGGGGACAGTGCGCTTCATGGTCCGGGGACAGTGTGCTTCATGGTCCGTCCCATGGTCCGGGGACAGTGCGCTTCATGGTCAGTCCCATGGTACAGGGACAGTGCGCTTCATGGTCAGTCCCATGGTCCGGGGACAGTGCGCTTCATGGTCAGTCCCATGGTCCGGGGACAGTGCACTTCATGGTCAGTCCCATGGTCCGGGGACAGTGCGCTTCATGGTCCGGGGACAGTGCGCTTCATGGTCAGTCCCATGGTCCGGGGACAGTGCGCTTCATGGTCAGTCCCATGGTCCGGGGACAGTGCGTTTCATGGTCAGTCCAATGGTCCGGGGACAGTGAGCTTCATGGTCTGTCCCATGGTCCGGGGACAGTGCGCTTCATGGTCAGTCCCATGGTCCGGGGACAGTGCGCTTCATGGTCAGTCCCATGGTCCAGGGACAGTGCGCTTCATGGTCCGTCCCATGGTCCGGGGACAGTGCGCTTCATGGTCCGTCCCATGGTCCGGGGACGGTGCGCTTCATGGTCCGTCCCATGGTCCGGGGACAGTGCGCTTCATGGTCCGTCCCATGGTCCAGGGACAGTGCGCTTCATGGTCAGTCCCATGGTCCGGGGACAGTGCGCTTCATGGTCAGTCCCGGGCACTTTACGCTCAGACACTTCCAAATGTTTGTTCAGACTCAGTGGAGCGTGTCTTCTGGTTGGTCTACACGGTTATGAAGACGTATCATTTATGTTCATTTCCCTCTCTCCCCGAGGCCTTTCACCTTTTCCCACATTTAAGGACAGTTTAAGAACATTTAAGGACAGTTTAAGAACATTTAAGGACAGTTTAAGAACATTTATGGACAGTTTAAGAACATTTAAGTACAGTTTAAGAACATTTAGGGACAGTTTAAGAACATTTATGGACAGTTTAAGAACATTTAAGTACAGTTTAAGAACATTTATGGAGGTTAAGAACATTTATGGACAGTTTAAGAACATTTAAGGACAGTTTAAGAACATTTATGGACAGTTTAAGAACATTTATGGACAGTTTAAGAACATTTAAGGACAGTTTAAGAACATTTATGGACAGTTTAAGAACATTTATGGACAGTTTAAGAACATTTATGGACAGTTTAAGAACATTTAAGGACAGTTTAAGAACATTTATGGACAGTTTAAGAACATTTATGGACAGTTTAAGAACATTTAAGGACAGTTTAAGAACATTTATGGACAGTTTAAGAACATTTAAGGACAATTTAAGAACATTTATGGACAGTTTAAGAACATTTATGGACAGTTTAAGAACATTTAAGGACAGTTTAAGAACATTTAGGGACAGTTTAAGAACATTTATGGACAGTTTAAGAACATTTATGGACAGTTTAAGAACATTTATGGACAGTTTAAGAACATTTAAGGACAGTTTAAGAACATTTATGGACAGTTTAAGAACATTTATGGACAGTTTAAGAACATTTATGGACAGTTTAAGAACATTTATGGACAGTTTAAGAACATTTAAGGACAGTTTAAGAACATTTATGGACAGTTTAAGAACATTTATGGACAGTTTAAGAACATTTAAGGACAGTTTAAGAACATTTAGGGACAGTTTAAGAACATTTATGGACAGTTTAAGAACATTTAAGGACAGTTTAAGAACATTTATGGACAGTTTAAGAACATTTATGGACAGTTTATGGACAGTGGTTCTGCTCCCTATGGACCTGTGTTTGAACAGTTTTATTCTCTGATCTGTTATCGAGGAATTAACAACTGTGTAATGTCCTCTGTTGTGATTTAGGGATATTAAAAAGGAGATATACTTTAGTTCAACAGAATAAAGGGGCATTCTTCAGCTGTCCTAATGGTGACTTCTATTAATTGATCAGTTGTTTTACTTGAAACGTGGCTCAGTTTGGTTTGATACAGGTGCATTCTCCAAGAGAGAGATTTATGACTCTTTAAGGTACATACGTGCACTTTGAACTTTGGACATCGATGTGCCGGAAGAGCAGCAGCTAATCTGGATACTGTTGGATATTGTTCCGTGCTAACACAACTGTAGATCCATGCTAACACAACTGTAGATCCGTGCTAACACAACTGTAGATCCATGCTAACACAACTGTAGATCCGTGCTAACACAACTGTAGATCCGTGCTAACACAACTGTAGATCCGTGCTAACACAACTGTAGATCCGTGCTAACACAACTGTAGATCCGTGCTAACACAACTGTAGATCCGTGCTAACACAACTGTAGATCCGTGCTAACACAACTGTAGATCCATGCTAACACAACTGTAGATCCATGCTAACACAACTGTAGATCCGTGCTAACACAACTGTAGATCCGTGCTAACACTTCTGTAGATCCGTGCTAACACAACTGTAGATCCGTGCTAACACAACTGTGGATCCGTGCTAACACAACTGTGGATCCGTGTTGTGTGTCTCCCCAGGCCCCCTCCTGTGCTGGACGGACCCGCAGTTACTCCCTCCTCCCCCACCTCACCCCCTCCTCGTCCCCCGCGGCGCAGAGACACCTGGGGCCCTCAGCGTCCGGGAACATCGTCAGCATCACACACCACAAATCACCTGCTGCAGCGAGACGCACAAAGAACCAACACCCGGGACGACTACACGACGTCAAAGAGGTCAGGACCAGAAGAGCGGTGGCTGCGGTTGCGGCTGTGGCTCTGATAGCGGCTGTGGCTGCGGCAGTGGCTGTGGCAGTGGCAGTGGCTGCGGCAGTGGCTGTGGCTGCGGCAGTGGCAGTGGCTGCGGCAGTGGCTGCGGCTGCGGCAGTGGCAGTGGCTGCGGCAGTGGCTGCGGCTGCGGCAGTGGCTGCGGCTGCGGCAGTGGCTGTGGCTGCGGCAGTGGCAGTGGCTGCGGCAGTGGCTGCGGCAGTGGCTGCGGCAGTGGCAGTGGCTGTGGCAGTGGCAGTGGCTGCGGCAGTGGCTGCGGCAGTGGCAGTGGCTGTGGCAGTGGCAGTGGCTGCGGCAGTGGCTGTGGCTGCGGCAGTGGCTGCGGCTGCGGCAGTGGCAGTGGCTGTGGCAGTGGCAGTGGCTGCGGCAGTGGCTGTGGCTGCGGCAGTGGCTGTGGCTGCGGCAGTGGCTGTGGCTGCGGCAGTGGCTGCGGCAGTGGCTGTGGCTGCGGCAGTGGCTGTGGCTGCGGCAGTGGCTGTGGCTGCGGCAGTGGCTGTGGCTGCGGCTGTGGCTGCGGCAGTGGCTGTGGCTGTGGCTGCGGCAGTGATTGTGGCTGCGGCAGTGGCTGTGGCTGTGGCTGCGGCAGTGGCTGCGGCAGCGGCAGTGGCTGTGGCAGTGGCAGTGGCTGCGGCAGTGGCTTTGGCTGCGACAGTAGCTGTGGCTGTGGCAGTGGCTGTGGCTGCGGCAGTGGCTGTGGCTGTGGCTGCGGCAGTGGCTGCGGCAGTGGCAGTGGCAGTGGCTGCGGCAGTGGCTGTGGCTGTGGCTGCGGCTGTGGCTGTGGCTGCGGCAGTGGCAGTGGCAGTGGCTGCGGCAGTGGCTGTGGCTGAGTTCATGAGGCATTGCAGCTTCAATTGTTTTACATTGTGCTTTAAGTGCGTTAACTCTTCTAAGTTTTATATTATCCTGATGTATATTCCAAGCAAATAAATAAAGCAAAAGTGGATCTGAAGGACCTGACGCGGGTGTGAAAGTGCCGCCTGCACGTTTCCAGAACATTACCATAAACGTCACAACAAACAGCTGCATTGTGGGTTTTGTTTATTTAAGCTAAAATTGTTGTGTAGCGCTGCTCAAAAAGATGAAGTACAGGTCGTGTTTTGGTCTTAAACAAATCTGTGGTTCAGCGCTCTCTATGATCCCGGTGTTTATGTGCGATATCATCTTTTAAATCCAGATATGACCTTATAAGGACTGGCCAATCAGAGGCCTTCATTCGGGAGGGACACTGCAACTTTCTTTAGCGACCATCTTATCAACACGTCTGCTCCTGCTACGGCACAAAACTAACACCGTCGGAACAAAGGCCCATATAAGGAAACTGGCTCCAGCTTAAGTCCAAATCAGCTTCTTCCCCAAACATGTGAAATCACATCTCCTCAAATACAGTCTATGTTTCAAACCAAGAACTAGGGATGTTCCAAATCCAGGATTCGGATTCGGCCGAATATTGGCTTTTTTGACGGAACTTAGAATTTTTCCTCACCGAACCCTACACTATGCGCGCTGTGGCTGCTGATAGATCCATGTGTGGCTGATAGATCCATGTGTGGCTGTGATAGATCCATGTGTGGCTGATAGATCCATGTGTGGCTGATAGATCCATGTGTGGCTGATAGATCCATGTGTGGCTGATAGATCCATGTGTGGCTGATAGATCCATGTGTGGCTGTGATAGATCCATGTGTGGCTGTGATAGATCCATGTGTGGCAGTGATAGATCCATGTGTGGCTGTGATAGATCCATGTGTGGCTGTGATAGATCCATGTGTGGCAGTGATAGATCCATGTGTGGCTGTGATAGATCCATGTGTGGCTGTGATAGATCCATGTGTGGCAGTGATAGATCCATGTGTGGCTGTGATAGATCCATGTGTGGCTGTGATAGATCCATGTGTGGCAGTGATAGATCCATGTGTGGCTGTGATAGGTCCATGTGTGGCTGTGATAGATCCATGTGTGGCTGTGATAGATCCATGTGTGGCTGTGATAGATCCATGTGTGGCTGATAGATCCATGTGTGGCTGTGATAGATCCATGTGTGGCTGTGATAGATCCATGTGTGGCTGTGATAGATCCATGTGTGGCTGTGATAGATCCATGTGTGGCTGTGATAGGTCCATGTGTGGCTGTGATAGGTCCATGTGTGTCTGCTGGATTCATCCCGGAAACCGGATTTGTCCGAAAGTTCAGTTTGCGGAAGTCAGATAGTGTAAATAAACATGTAAACAGTTTGTGTTGTTATATACAGATTATATTATTGATTTGTGCACATATGTATCAAGGTTTATTACGAGAAATGACAGGAAAAAAGCTCAGAGAAAAATAATACATCTAGTAGCCGGGAGCCCAGATGCGTTCAAAGACACACGGAAATGAGGGAAACACATATAGTTTACCATTTTATTCCGAAACACAACACAGGACTGCCTGGACTGCCACCTTAACGTGGTGGGGGAGTTTGAGTACTCGGATGATCCTGGGAGCTATGCTGTCTGGGGCTTCATGCCCCTGGTAGGGTCTCCCATGGCAGACAGGTCTCAGGTGACGAGTCAGACAAAGAGCAGTCCAGAAGACACCATGGACAGCACAATTATGAAACCAGTGACGTCGCCCGGCATGGCGCAGCCGGGGCCCCACCCTGGAGCCAGGCCTGGGGTCGGGGCTCGTATGCGAGCGCCTGGTGGCCGGGCCTTAGCCCACGGGGCCCGGCCGGGCTCAGCCCGAATGGACGACGTGGGCAGTCCCTCCTGTGGACCCACCACCTGCAGAGGGGTCCGTGGTGGCGAAACGGTGCAGAGAGGACTGGGCAGCGGTCGAAGGCGGAGACCTCGGCGACCCAGTCCACACACCCAACATCTGGCTCTTGGGACGTGGAACGTCACCTCACTGGGGGGGAAGGAGCCCGAGCTTGTGGGGGAGGTTGAGCGATACCGACTAGAGATAGTCGGCCTCACCTCCACACACAGCTTGGACTCTGGAACCCAACTCCTTGAGAGGGGTTGGACGCTCCACTTTTCTGGAGTTTCCCGCGGGGAGAGGCGGCGAGCTGGGGTGGCCATACTCATTGCCCCCCATCTCAGCCGCCACGTGTTGGAGTTCTCCCCGGTGAATGAGAGGGTCGTGTCCCTCCGCCTCCGGGTGGGGGACAAGTCTCTCATTGTTGTGACGGCCTACGGGCCTAACGGTAGTGCAGAGTACCCGGCCTTCTTGGAGTCCTTGGCTGTGATAGATCCAGTGATAGGTCCCCGGGCGGTGCACCGCCCGGGGACTCCGTTATTCTCCTGGGGGACTGCAACGCCCATGTGGGAAACGCCAGTGACACTTGGAGAGGGGTGATTGGGAAGAACGACCCCCCTGATCTGAACCCGAGCAGTGTTCAGTTGTTGGACTTCTGTGCCAGTCACAGTTTGTCCATCACAAACACCATGTTCGAGCACAAGGGTGTCCACCAGTGCACGTGGCACCAGGACACCCTAGGCCGGAGGTCGATGATCGACTTTGTTGTCGTATCATCTGACCTTCGACCGCGTGTCTCGGACACTCGGGTAAAGAGAGGGGCGGAGCTGTCAACCGATCATCACCAGGTCGTGAGTTGGATCCGCTGGCAGGGGAAGAAGCCGGTCAGACCTGGCAGACCCAGGCGTATAGTGAGGGTCTGCTGGGAACGTCTCGCTGAGCCCCCTGTCAGACGGACTTTCAACTCACACCTCCGGGAGAGCTTCTCCCAGGTCCCGGCGGAGGAGGGGGACATGGAGTCCGAGTGGACCATGTTCTCTGCCTCAATTGCCGATGTGGCGGCTCGTAGCTGTGGTTGCAAGGTCTCTGGTGCTGGTCCCGGCGGCAATCCCCGAACCCGGTGGTGGACACCGGCAGTAAGGGATGCTGTCAGGCTGAAGAAAGAGTCCTATCGAGCCATGATGGTTCGGGGGACTCCTGAGGCAGCTGTCCAGTACCGGCAGGCCAAGCGTGCCGCGGCCCGGGCTGTTGCAGAGGCAAAAACCCGGGACTGGGAGGACTTCGGAGAGTCCATGGAGCATGACTATCGGTCGGCCTCGAAGAGATTCTGGCAAACCATCCGGCGCCTCAGGAGGGGGAAGCAGTTCTTTGCCAGCACCATGTACGGTGCGGGTGGAGAGCTGCTGACCTCGACTGGGGATATTGTCGGGCGGTGGAAGGAATACTTCGAGGTTCTCCTCAATCCCCCCGTCACGTCCTCCGTCCAGGAGGCAGAGGCTGAGGATGTTGGGGCGGATACATCCATCTCCCTGGCTGAGGTCACCAAGGTGGTTGGTAGCCTCCATGGTGGCAAGGCTCCGGGTGTGGATGAGATCCGCCCTGATTATCTAAAGTCTCTGGATGTTGTAGGACTGTCTTGGCTGACACGTCTCTGCAACATCGCGTGGCGATCGGGGGCAGTGCCAATGGAGTGGCAGACCGGGGTGGTGGTCCCTCTCTACAAGAAGGGGGACCGGAGGGTGTGTTCCAATTATCGTGGGATCACACTCCTCAGCCTCCCCGGTAAGGTCTACTCCAAGGTACTGGAGAGGAGGCTACGGCCGATGGTCGAATCTCGGATCCAGGAGGAGCAATATGGTTTTCGTCCCGGTCGCGGAACACTGGACCAGCTCTATACTCTCCATCGGATACTCGAGGGTTCATGGGAGTTCGCCCAACCTGTCCACATGTGCTTTGTGGATTTGGAGAAGGCGTTCGACTGTGTTCCCCGGGGTGTCCTTTGGGGGGTTCTCCGGGAGTACGGGGTCGGGGGTCCTCTGCTGAGGGCCGTCCGATCCCTGTATGACCGGAGCCAGAGCTGTGTTCGCATTGCCGGCAGTAAGTCAGACCTGTTCCCGTTGAATGTTGGCCTCCGACAGGGCTGCCCTTTGTCACCGGTTCTGTTCACTGTATTTATGGACAGAATTTCTAGGCGCAGTCAGGGGTCGGAGGGGGTCCGGTTCGGAGACCACAGGATTTCATCCCTGCGGTTTGCGGATGATGTCGTCCTGCTGGCTCCAACGAACCAGGACCTGCAACATGCACTGGGACGGTTTGCAGCCGAGTGTGAAGCGGCTGGGATGAGAATCAGCACCTCCAAATCCGAGGCCATGGTGCTCGACCGGAAAAAGGTGCCTTGCCCTCTGCAGGTGGGTGGAGAGGTCCTTCCTCAAGTGGAGGAGTTCAAGTATCTCGGGGTCTTGTTCACGAGTGAGGGAAGAATGGAGCGTGAGATTGACAGGCGGATCGGTGCAGCGTGCGCAGTTATGCGGTCGCTGTATTGGACCGTTGTGGTAAAGAGGGAGCAGCGTCTGCAGTCAGAGCTGTATCGGACCGTTGTGGTAAAGAGGGAGCTGAGCCGAAAGGCAAAGCTCTCGATTTACCGGTCAATCTTCGTTCCCTCCCTCACCTATGGTCATGAGCTTTGGGTAATGACCGAAAGAACGAGATTGCGGATACAAGCGGTCGAAATGAGCTTCCTCCGCAGAGTGGCTGCTCCCTTAGAGATAGGGTGAGGAGCTCAGTCACACGGGAGGAGCTCGGAGTAGAGCCGCTGCTTCTCCACGTCGAGAGGAACCAGTTGAGGTGGCTCGGGCATCTGTTCCGGATGCCTCCTGGACGCCTCCCTGGGGAGGTGTTCCGGGCACGTCCCACCGGGAGGAGGCCCCGGGGAAGACCCAGGACACGCTGGAGGGACTATGTCTCTCAGCTGGCCTGGGAACGCCTTGGGGTCCCCCCGGACGAGCTGGAGGAAGTGTGTGTGGATAGGGAAGTCTGGGCGTCTCTGCTTAGACTGCTGCCCCCGCGACCCGGCAACGGATAAAGCGGAAGAAAATGGATGGATG